AAATATTTTCTATTTTTAAAAAATGTTAATTTATTTATTTGAGAGAGAGAGCTAGAGAGAGAGCGAGAGAGAGAGCGAGAGAGAGCGCACATGCATAAGTTGGGGAGGGGCAGAGAGAGTGGGAGACACAGAATTTGAAGCAGGCTCCAGGCTCCAAGCTATCAGCACAGAGCCTGATGTGGGGCTTGAATGCATAAACTGTGAGATCTTGACCTGAGCCAAAGTCAGACACTTAACCGACTGTGCCACCCAGGTGCCCCTTTTCTTTACTATTTTTTACAACATTGTCTTCTTGTTCTATTATCTAAGATGTTTCCTTAATTTTTCATCCAATTCTTCTATTAAAATTTTAACTTCAGGGGCGCCTGGGTGGCTCAGTTGGTTAAGCATCTGACTTTGGCTCAGGTCATGATCTTGAGGTTGCTGTTTGAGCCCCACGTCGGGCTCTGTGTAGACAGCTCAGAGCCTGGAGCTTGGTTTGGATTCTGTGTCTCTGTCTCTGCCCCTCCCCTGCTCATGCTTTGTTTCTCTCTCTGTCTCTCTTTCTCCCAAAAATAAACATAAAAAAATAAAATTTTAATTTCAGCCTTCCTATTTTCATTTATAAGTGCTCTTTCTTGATCTTGTTTTCTTTTCTTTTCTTTCTTTCTTTCTTTCTTTCTTTCTTTCTTTCTTTCTTTCTTTCTTTCTTTCTTTCTTTTCATTCTGTCCTTGCTTTGTGTTGCAAGCTTCTTGTTTATCTTCCTGGAGATATGAGTGAACATTTAAAAAGCTTCTTCTAAATTCTGCATTGTTTTGGTTTCCTCCAAGTGCCTTTTCTCTATTAGTTTGTTTCACTTTCTGACTTTCCCTAAATGTCTGATAATCTTTTGCCTTCCTGTTTGAATTTAAGCACTAGAAGATGACTAGAAGATCCGAGAGGAGGGGAACAGTCTGTTGCTTGGTGAATTTCACTGTAGAATAATAAGGTGGCATGCCAGATTTTGACTGAGGGGACCCAAGTGTTAGGTCTGTAGGTGTTTTGTCTTCAGTGGGTCAGTTTTCCCTGGAAGGAATCCACCAATCTCCTGCTTCTGGTGGGAGATGAGGGAGGGGTCTAACTAAGCCTGGCTGCTATCATTCTAGGAGCCAAGCAGGGAAAGGTTGCTAGGGGTTTTAAGACTGCTTTTAGTACAGCGGAAAGTAAACCTCACATTTCCTGCCAGGATAAGGAAGGAGTAGTCTCTGATTCAGTGGATCCAGGGTCTGGCTGCTCTTCATACAAACTTCCAACTGTCTGTGGCACAACATCAGCTTGCTGTTGTTGGCTTCCTGACCCAGCTTTCTCTGGTCTGTTGTTGGGTACCACTCATCCATCCCTTTCTAGCTTCCCAACGTTTGTTGACAGTCTTTTACTTGCTGGCATGTCTTTTTCCATTCTCATTGTTTTTGTGGGTTTATGACATTTTATTCTTTGACTGTCATCTCAGTGGTATTTCATGAGAGCCGAGATGAACATAAATTTAAACCACTGTATTTAATCATCCTCGCTCACCCTTCAATTCTCCGAAATATCTTCTGCCATTACCACACTATTGTAAGTGTTCTTTTCCAGGTCACCAAATGAATACCTTGCTGCTAAATATAATAGACATTCCTTTGTCTTCCCATACTGTTTCATCTTACTTAATCACGCAGTAGCACTTGTCCCTACTGACGATTTTTACTTAAATTTCTCTGCCCTTAGCTTCCATAAACACTCCTGGTTTCCTCCCTACCTATGCGGTTTCTTTTGCCTTTGTGAGCAGATCTCCTTTGACCTATTCCTTTAATGCTAGTGTTCTTTATGATTCTTGTTTTAGGCCATTCTCTTCTCTCTTGAGAATTATCTGCCCAGCCTAAATATCTTCATCGATGGTTTCTCATAGGGTCTGAAATTCTTCCTCACCAATAATAATTGTAATATATTAAGGACCAAGATTTCAGTTAAAGTCAAATTTTAGCTGGGAGAGTATTCCTTCTCCCTTACAAATGACACTTATTATATTGTCCTTTATGGAGGTCAGAGCCTTGAGAGACAGGTAACGTTGTTTTGCTTAAAGTATTAAACATAGAAACACAAACAGACACACACTTACATATACCCCAATGCCATTTTTACTCACCCTTCCAGCCACTGTTAATATTTGGGAGTATAGTATCCCAATATTTATATTTAATATGTATTTCACAAACATAAGGTCATGTTGTATATACTTCATTATACCCTACATTTGAAACTTAACAATATATCATGAACTTGTCCCTGTCATTGGATTTATTTATTTATTTATTCATTTATTCATTTATTTTGAGAGAGAGCATGCAAGTGAGGGAAAGGGCAGAGAGAGAGGGAGAGAGAGAATCCCAAGCAGGCTCTGCACCATCAGCGTGAAGCCTGATGCCAGGCTCAAACTCACAAACTGTGAGATCGTGACCTGAGCCGAAGTCAGACGCTCAACTGAGGCAGCCAGGTGTCCCCTTGTCATTGGATAGTATCATATAACCTGATTTTCAGTGACCTCATAGTATTTCATCTTTTGATGTGTAGTAACACATTACTTAGTTCAGTCCCCATGGTTAGACAATTAGGTTACATATAGTGTATTGCGTGCCCTTAAACAGTTGCATCTTTGCATATACCTCAATTATTTCCTTAGTAAAAACTTTATGAAGTAAAACTGTGGTGTCAGAGAATATTTGCGTTTTAAACTATTTGGGTATTTAATACTAAATTGATCTTCAAAATTTGTTGTCAATTTCAGTCCTGGTAAAATATGGAGGCATTACCTAATATAGGTATAAAAAGCTCCTATATTGTCATTAGTTATAATCTTAAATGCTATCTCATTTTATCTTACATTTATTTGATTCCTCAAGTAGTTGGGCTTTTAAATATATTTGTTGGCTACTTATTTTCATGTTGTATGAATTGATTTTCTGTCTTATTTGTCTACACTCTTGTCACTACTTTCCTTTCTGATCACCTTAAAATCTGCTCTGCCTCCAATTTTGACCCCTTCCAGTCCATTACTGCAGCCAGAGTACTCTACTTGAAACATAAATTTGAGCATCACTCTGCCTAAAAAGGCTTCAGTGGCCCACATTGCTCTCCAGGTAAAGTGTAAAGTTTGTAACATGACCTACAAGGCTCTGCGTGACTTTGCTAATTCTCCAGCCTTCGGGCAAGAGAGAACACACACACATCCATGTAGTCTTTGCTTACCTAACTCCTACTCATCATGTAGGTCATTGCTTACCATAAACTTCCTCTGGGGAGAGTTCCCTTAGTGCCCAAGTCCTTGTCAGGTGGATCTTGTGTATGTTACACTCCCTTTGTAGCAGCACTTCTATTGCCTATTTAATGTCTTTCTCCTCTATGAACTGTGAACTTTGTGAAGGCAAGGACCACAGCTGTGTATCTCCAGTGCCTAGCACAGTGCCTGGAACATTAGTTGTGCTCAGTAAGTATTGCATGGATGGATGGATGGATGGATGGATGGATGGATGGAAGAAAGAAGATTGGGGAGGTCAGGAATAAATTTCATGAGCCAATTTTCTACCTTAACTCTTGCCCTAAAGAGGTTGTTTTCTTCTACTCATCAAACCCTGGAAGAATAGCCTAAAGAGTGAGACTTTAAGATTATACTGGGTTAGCCTTTCATTTGTTTATGCTGGCCTGCAGTTTATTCCTAAAACATCTATTTCGCAAACAACCAAGAGCTATTGTTGGCAGAAGTATAGCAAGGTACATGTGCATGAGGATATATATTTGTTTAACTCCTCAACCCCTTACAACTAATTCATCATAAAAGTTTCCCCTCTGGTCTTTTTACATCCAGTGCCTCTTCCCTTCATTCTACCTGCGTATTGTTGCCAAGTTCATGTTTCTTTCCATTGTGTCATTTGCATGCTCAAGAATCTTCATTGGCTCCAATTCAGAAGGTCTGTCACAGAGCCTCAACATGTATGTTTTGGTCAAAACTCCCCCAAGATAATTATGATGTGTAGTCATGGTTAAGAATTGCTGAAGCACATAAAAATTTACCTTAATTTAAAAAAAATGGTCTAAATTGGTTCAGGGTATAAAGTTTAGAATCCGATGAACATGGATTAAGTTATATTTCTTTTTTTCTGACTTTTCCTGGTTGTGTGACCTTGGGCAAGTTACTTAACCTTTCTATGTGTCCTTTTCATGTACAAAATGGAAATAACATTTACTACACAGGATTATAGTAAGAAGTAAATTAATCAATGTATGTAAAGTACATGCATGGTCTCTTCTACCTACTAAATGCTCAATAAATGTTAGAAGCTGTGTTGCTGTTAATCATTCCACTATTCACTCAACAATTATTGATTTGCTATGTGTCCAATACTCTGTTATGAACTGTGGAAGATATAAGAGGTACAAAATACCTGCTCTTGAGATGCATCAAACTAGCTGGGGAGTTAAAGCTAGCATAGCATTATATAATAATAATAAATAATAATAAAATTAAACATAAATGTTATAAAAGATCAAATAATGTACAGTATTTAAGTGAAGGCTGTAATTCAGCCCCAGCATGCTGGTTTATTGATTAGCATAAAAAAAAATAAAAAAATAGAGGGGGAGGCAAAAAAAATCTCTCAAACTGCTCTTACCAAGCCTTCAGAGGTCTAGTTTTGATGCTGCCTGCCAGATGGAAAATGATGCAGAGGAGGAAAAATCCTGTATTTACTTCTCAAAATTAAGACAGGATGGGGGAGTGCATTTGAGGGGTGAACATATGTGAATAAATATGGTATAACCCTTAATTGGTTCCTGATGATTAAAATGTAAATGGTTCCCACTGGAAAAGCATAGATATGATATTTTTCACTTAATGAATCAAGCCCTACGAGTCCTTTATTTTCTTCTTGTTGAACCAGAAATCAAACACTGGATAAAGGTTGCACACCTATTTTGATGTATATTGATGTACTTTTCTCTTTTCCAGGGTCGCTATGGCAACAGCATCTTCTCAAGTTCTGATTCCAGACATCAATTTTAACGATGCCTTTGAAAACTTTGCTTTAGATTTTTCCAGAGAAAAGAAATTGCTGGAGGGGCTAGATTATTTAACAGGTGTGAAAATACTGTGGTTTCCTTCCTGTTTAAATGCTTTTCTTTTGGTGTTCTCTTACTTTAAGATAATCGGAAAAGAGCAATATTTATAATGAAAATGCTTTTATAAACTTTAAGACAATTCATGTATCTTTTTAGATAGAATAAACTTTAGTTCACGTAACAGAAAAGGAGATGATGTGTGAAATATTTCTGGGGGCACATGGGTATACCATTATACTTAGAGGTAAAGAAAAAGCAAGACGTTGCTGATGGATTTCTCCTTAAGAGCCTATCAGTAATATATTGTTGCTTGTTACTGAGGGAGTTAGAACTCAGGTGGCAATTATGGAATATTAAAGAATCTCCTGCATAGCGATAGGTACCATTCAAATGGTTTTAAGGAAATTTAGAAACTAGCAGATTAGGAAGAAAAATGTAAGAAATATCTGGCTTGCACACAATTCTAGGAAATGAGGGGTGCATCCAGACTATGAAAAATGCTGGATACCTTCAGGATTAATGAATGACCATTTCATGAGAAAAATATACACATACAATAGCCTTGCATTTGTCATTATTTTGGCTAATATATTAAAGTAACTGTCATTTACTGAACATCTCCTTTATGCCAGACACTGTATATTAATTTTATATTATAAATATGTACAACCAATCTATGAGGTAATTATCATCCCTTATTTTACAGATGAAGCAACTCATATTAATTTGCACTTGGCTATACTGCCAACAGTCTATAATAAAACTTATTTGAAAATAAAAAGCAATAGGCCAAAGGTCATGCAGTAAGAAAACCATTTGACCACTTTGCTCTAATATCTACATATGTGTTGGTACAGGCAGAGTAGACATCCGGGCAATCAGTTCAATACCTTAGGCTTATATCTTTGCCTAAAATGTCTCTGTCACTGAAGCAGAAGCGGTTTGGGGAAATTTGAAGTCTTAGCACTTGGCTTCAGGTTGTTCAGAATATGCTATCTAAAGCTTCTTATTAAGACAGCCTCTTCTCTATGAGGTGTAGAGTTGGGCAGCGAGGGTAACAATTGTTAAACTTGCAGAACGGAGAGTGTGCTTTCCTTTACCTTCTTTTCCACCTTTCCTTACAGCCCCAAACCCACCATCTATCCGAGAGGAACTCTGTACTGCCTCCCATGACACCATTACAGTCCACTGGATCTCGGATGATGAGTTCAGCATCAGCTCCTATGAGCTTCAGTACACCATATTCACTGGCCAGGCTAACTTCATCAGTAAGTCATGGTGTAGTTGGGGCCTGTGGCCAGAGATAAGGAAATGTAAGGAAGCAGTAAGCTGCTCAAGATTGGCCGGGGCGCCACGAGGCAAGTGTTTGTAAGACATGTTAGGTTGTTTAGCACAGTGTTTCGTAGACAGTGCAAACTCCCCCAGTGCATTGCAAAGACCTTATTGATGGGTGACAAGCAAGTTGTGTATTTCCTTGCTGGGCAGTCACTGGGGCCACTCCCATTTGTTTATGTAATCCTTAAGCCTTTCCTCAGTTACTTCATGTCACTCCACTCTCCCCAGTCAGAACACAGCTCAGAATTCATTCCTGGGTAGCTAAGCCACCATCATTGCTGATCCTCTGTGTGTGAACATCTCTCTCCTTGACTCTTCTTCCACTTCATTATCATGGTAAAATATGCTATGTTCAAAGACTACTACTTCCTTTAACGCACCTATTTGTATCGGCGACTATAGCGACAAGCCTCCTGCCTCTGTCACTGTACCCCTTGTCCCTTTCCTCCAAGAATTACACCAAATACAAAAATGTGTCAGCAGGCCGCAAGATGAAAGATGGTCAAAAAGCAGTCATTGGGCTCCCATTCTATGGTTTCTCCTCCTGATGAATTGGAGCAAGACATGGCAGAGTAGAAACCTGACGCATCGATTGCCAGACTGAAGGGGGCCAGCTGCAAGTTCCCCTCCATGTGCTGGGGAGAACTGGAAAGCAGAATTAAAACTGGATTCCAGGCTGGAACAGATTCCCACCCTAAGGTTGCATCCACACAGCTGCAAATTAGTATTTTCTTTGACCTCTGTGCTTGTGCTTCTGTGTCTGACTTCACAGGGAGAGGAGTTTTTCCAATGAAACCCTCCCAATAGGCTTCCCTTTTTGGTTGTGTGACAATTCTGGGCCACATGCTGGGGTGGGGAGATGAGAACACATTGGGGGTCAAATTTCTAAAAACACTTGCCTCGTGCAGCTCCAACCTAAGCCACTTGGCCTGGGTAGCTGTATTCCTAGGTATTTTTTCCAGGTGGTGGAGTCACAAACTCTAAGGCCTCCCTGACATGCTTTTCTGCACTTGTCTCTACTGCTCTGGAATGGCTTACAGCCAGCAACTGTGCTCCTCCTTCCTGAGATGGGGAGAGCGGTGGTCTCCTGGGAGTTGAGAAATAAGTCCAAGAAGTGACAAAGATCCAAAGGCTGTCCTCCTTATTTTCAAAGATATATCGTCCTCCATGAAGAAGAGCTTAATGGACAATTCTTAATAACAATAGGATCATAGCACCTTAGAATTGGAAGGAAACTTAGATGTCATTTAAGCTAATCTTCAATTTTACCAGTCACCCAGTAGATGATTATCCTGTCTCTACTCGAACATGTCCAGTGATGAGTAGCTCACTTCTAACAAAATAACTCATTCAGTTGTTGTGCAGCTATAAATAATTGTAAGTGCGTCCCTAGAAAAGGCCCAACTCTCCCTCCTAGTAACTAATGACAATGATAATGTGTATGTGCATTATGCTTTGTCATTTACAAACACTCCCACTTAGTCTTCATGAGTTCTTCCTTAACCATATGAAAGAGTTGATATTAATTCTGTTTTATAGATGAAGAAGCTGAGGTTCAAGATAAATGAGTTGCCCAAGGTCACAGAGCTACAAACTGATGGAGTCAAGATTTGAACCCGAGCCTATCAGACTTTAATCTTAATGTTTTCTTGAATTAAACCCACAGCTACCAATTTGTCCTAGTCTTGCCCCTTTATGCCTCACTAGTAAACCTAATCCATCTCTCACATGACAGTTCTTCAGATCATTTTACGTAGCTCTCATATATGTCCCTTCTAAATTTTCTCTTTTCCAGGCTTACATATCCTCAGGTCTTTGAATCTCTCCTCATGTGACCTGGTTTCAGACCCTTTACCATCACGGTATCCTTTTTAGGAATACACCCATGTTTGTCAGAGTGTTTTATACAACATGCTGTCAAAAAAGTGAAAACAGTACTCCAGAAGTGGTCTGACCACCACGGAGGTTAGCTGGATTATTTGTCTTATACATTAGCTGATGACCCCCGCCCCAAACCTTTTTATTCCAGTAGTCACATTGCCTGTGTTGACTTCTGAGCATGTAGTCAGCTGAAATCCCTAGGTATTTCAAAATCTTGTTCCTATACAGTTGATTGTATAAACTGAAATACAACACCTTGAGTACATCCCTATTACATTTTGTCTGGTTAGCTGTGACTCCACATTCGAACCTGCCAAAATCCTTTTAAATCCAGTTTCTGCCTTTCCAGCCTACCTTCTGTGTCTTCTTCCAATCATAAATAGAAAAATGGGATAGGGCAGAGACAAGTGCAGAGCCCTGAGCAAAATTTTGTCTGGCAATGGGCAGATAAGATGAAACAATTTTACTGGGAATACATATTCAGGAAGATTCAAGGTCTCAGTCCTACCTGTTGGTCTGGCCTGCCCCTGTTCTGCTGCTGTTGATTAAACTTGGACTCTGAGAGATGCTTTTCCCTCGAGGTTTTTCCACATTTTCTCTTTTCTTAGACCACTTTATTTACATGTAGTCAACATACAAAAAAGTTGTCCATCAACAGATCAATGGATAAAGAAAATGTGGTATATCCATACAATAAAATATAATTCAGCCTTTAAAAAGAAGGAGATTCTGCCATGTGTGACAACATGCGTGAACCCGGAGGGCATTGTGCTAAGTGAAATAAGCCAGACACAGAAGGACAAATACTACATGATACCATTTATATGAGGAATCTTAAAATAGTCCAACTCCACATTTTCTTTAACCAGAAATGTCTTCCTTGTTGGTTAGTATTTTGTCTGGAGAAATAGTCCCCTTATTTTTTTTCAGCTTTCTCCCTTCATTTCTAATTATCTCCCCACCTCATCTAAGATTTGGGATGGTCACAAGCCAATGATGTTTCAGATGATGCTGTTAGCTGAATTCAAACAGATGTTTAGCTGACTGTATTCCCCATTACTGTATATCTTTTCTCCTTTTCAGTTTCGTGATTTGCATTATGAAAGCACTGGCTATACTCTGTCTGGCCAGGCAGTCTGTAACAAACTGCCACAAAGATAAAACTTCTATTTCCTCTCCTTTTCATTTCCATGCAAATGTTCTCCACTACACATTTACACTTGGCTTCATGGATTTCCATATTGTGGTCTTTCCCTTTGGAACAAGGTGTATATTTCCATTACCATAATTCAGTCATAAACCCCATCTCACCAAGTCTCGGTGATACCCAGAGAATCCTATATTTACCTTTTTAAAATGTAGAACTGGTTTTGAAATTACAGAAAAGTTGTAAGAGTAGCACAAAGAATGCCTGTAAACTCTTTACCCAGATTCATCCACTTGTCAACATCCACTTGTCAACATGTTATTTCATTTCCTTTATCATTTGCTAGCATTCCCTATCTCTCTCTATATATTTCTGAACCATTTGAGAGTAAATTGCATACATCATGACCTTTTACCCCTAAATTCTTCTGTGTAGGTTTTGTAAGAATAAGGAAACTCTTACCTAACCACAGTACAGTTATCAACTTTAAGAGATTTGATACAGTACTTTTCCTGATCCACTATTCATATTCCAATTTTGACAGTTGACCCAATAGTATCCTTTATAATGTGAAGAACCCAATATTGTCCTTTAGAGTCAAGGATCAGGTATTGCATTTAATGTCATATCTGTAGCCTCCTTTATTTTTTTTTAATTTTATTAAAATTTTTTTAAAGTTTATTTTTGAGAGAGAGAGAGACAGAGCATGATTTGGGGAGGGGCAGAGAGAGAGGGAGACACAGGATCCGAAGCAGGCTCCAGGCTCTGAGCTGTCAGCACGGAGCCCAATGCAGGATTCTAACTCATGAACCATGAGACCATGACCTGAGCCGAAGTCAGACATTTAACTGACTGAGCCGCCCAGGCTCCCCTAAATTTTATTTTTAAGTAATCTGTACACCCAACGTGGGGCTCAAACTCACAACCCTGAGACTTAGCACTTCACCATTTGAGCCAGCCACGCACCACTCTGTAGCCTGCTTTAATCTGGAACACTTAGTTTGTCAGTCTTTCTTTGTCTTTAACGACATTGACAGATTTTTTAAATGTCCTTTTATTTCTTTATTATACTATCCCTTATTTTGGGTTTCTCTGAAGTTTCCTCATGATTTATATTCAGACTATGAATTCATTGCTGGAATACCACATGGGACGGGTGTCCTCCTTAGGACATCACATCTCGAGGCACATCATGTCCACTCGCCCTTCGTTGGTGATGCTAATTTTGTTCAGCGAGTCAAAGGTGTTGCCTGATTTCTTCATCCTGTAGTTACTGCTTTTCCTTTTGCAACTAATGAGCAATCTGTGTGGTGATAACTTTGAAACAAGGAAACTGTCTTGCTTCCTCATCAAACCCATCTCACCCCCACTCCTGTTTTAGCACCAATCAAAACTCCTTGCCTGGTCCAGTCTTTGCTCTGATGATTACAAAATTATAATTTTCCAAAGGAGGATCCCCTCCCACTTTTACAAGTTGACCTTCTACATTCTACTGTAAGCCAAAGCCCCACCCTCTGTCTATTTATCTACTTATCAGTATGGCCTCATGAATTCTCTTTTCAATGGTTTATAATTCTTCACTGCCCTTGCTTATTTGGATGCTCAGGTTGTCCAGGTTTAGCCAGTAAGACTTTGAAGCTTACTCCTGGGTTCTTATATTCTGCCATAATTTTCTTGAATACTTCTTTACTTTCTAGCATAACAAAAGATTCTAAGGTCGTATTCATCTTATCCTGCCCCAGCCTTGAAATCAGCCATTTCTCTAAGGAAACTTGGTTCCTTTTAATTGGAGAATGTTATTATAGAATAAGATCTGGATACTAGAAATACACACATATGCCCATGCACATATGCATGTGCACACACATAATGTACATACGCATGTACTTAACATATGTGCACATATGGATGCCCATATACACACACATATATAGAAATCATGAGTTCATACCAATGCCTCCAATTCCAGTCCATGTCCACACATTCTTTGTTGCCTTCCCCCATTTGATATTTTTACATTCCTACTTCCACAATGAGAACCTTGGCTCCCAACATCAACACATGTACTCATTTGCTTAATCCCATAATAGATCTAACAGTTCCAGAAGTGCTTTGTCCATGCCACTACAAAAACAAACAATAGTTCAGGATTTGTTTTCAGTTCTCCTCCTGCCCCCATCCTTTTGGTGTGGTTGTTTTTCATTTGAAATGCATTTGGGTTCATTTGCTTCAGTTTGCCTTCAGTTTTGGTCCCTGCTCTTCCCATTCATATTGATTTAATTTTAATTTTCTGAATTTGTGAAACAGCAGTGTGTTTCCAAAAGGGAAACCGATACAAGAAAAAAGTGTATTCAAAGGATTGTCATTCTTGGGTCACCTGGGTGGCTCAGTCGGTTGAGCATCTGACTTTGGCTCAGGGCATGATCTCACAGTCTCATGTTTCGTGAGTTCAAACCCTGTGTCGGGCTCTGTGCTGACAGCTTGGAGCCTGAAGCCTGCTTTGAGTTCTGTGTCTCCCTCTCTTTCTGCCCCTCCCCTGCTTGCACTCTGTCTGTCTCTCTCAAAAATAAACATTAAAAAAAAAAAGAAGTGTCATTTTCACCCCTATCTTTTTAATCCCCTGCCCTCCCCCATCCCTTGTAGCTAACCAACTACAATATTTTCTGGGTTTTCCTTCCTATTGTTATTGGTGTTTTGTAAACAAGCAGATATATGTATGCTCCCTTATTTGCCCTTCTTCCTTGGAAAAAAAGTGTTGTATTATACATGCATGCTCTTTTGCAATTTGGTTTTTTCAGTTAACAGTAAACCCTGGAAATCACTCCATATCAGTTAACAGAGTTCTTCTTCATTCTTTTTTTTAAGCTTATTTAATTAATTTATTTATTTATTCATTTAGATCAGGGGAGGGGCAGAGAGAGAGAGGGAGAGAAAGAATCCCAAGCAGGCTCCACGCTGTCATCATGGAGCCCGCTGTGAGGCTCGATCTTACAAACCGTGAGATCATGACATGAGCTGAAATTAAGAGTCGGATGCTTAACTGACTGAGCCACCCAGGCACCCCACTCCAGTCTTTTTTCATAGCTACATAGTACTTAATTGTGGCATTTGTTTTTTGTTTTGTATTGTTAGAAGTATATCTGGAAGACCATTTATTTCCCTTTTTGTATTAAAGTCTAATGTGCAGTTTATGATTCATATTGTGAATTGGTACATAGCTAACCAGGCCCTCAAACATTATTCCTGGCCCTTATCCTTATTGTCTTTTCCTGAGCATAACTGAGCATCTTCACCAGTTATTCTTTTTCTAACATATGTGTTTTCCCTCCTTCATGCTTCTTTTTCTAGTTTTATTTTAGACTTTTTCAACCATCCACCAAATTAATTATAAAACCCTCATGATCAGATCTCTTTCAAACCACTCATGATTACTTTTCATTTTCAACCTCACTAAATCCTTCACTAAGGCTGCATAGAAGTGACTACATTCACTGTTCATTTTCCTTGCCCATTCCTGTCCATGCTTTGTTAGAATTGTGGTTAAAAAGCAATAAACTGATTGAAAGACAGGTAACAGAAGAGAGAAGCCTGGATAATTCACAAACCAGAACGTCAACCCCTCTTCTACTAACAGTTAGCCAAATACATGTTTTTAATTATGTGCATTTTTCTTGGTTTAAGTCAATGTTTATGGTCTAAAGAGTTTCGAAAGCAGAAGCCTAGATCTCTGAGCTTGGGAGGGAAGAAGGTTCCAGGCAACAATGTGTTCCTGGACCACCCAACTTCGAATGAATATTGGAACCAGGAAGGAGCAAAAGATGGGTAGTGCCAAGTGGGGAGATGGCAATTTTGCTTTGGTTATCATGCCATCTCCTTGGCTTCCCTATGATACCTCAGAGTCCAGTTAGATTGGGAAGTGAGGGTGAGGATGGGGAGGGTGAGATGAGCCATAAGCCCTGAAAGCTTCACTACCTTGCAGAGACCAAGGAACATTGCTGTCTACCCCATGAATTGTGACGTAGCGGAGAGAACACTGGCCTAGGGTTAAAGAAACCAGGGTTACACTCTCAGCACCATCACCATCTTTCTGTGGCCTTGGGCAAGTCACCTTCTCTCAATCTTAGCTACCCTTTGTAAAAGGACAGAAACATGGCATGTAGGTGTCCTTTTGGCTCTGAGATTCCATGTTCCTGCGCTGTGCACAGGACCGCTCCACCCATATGAGGCTAGACTCAGCTCTCAGGGGATTGGACCTTTGGCTTAAAGATCCAGAGACTCCATAAAAGTGGTGATTCGGTGATTTTTTTTTTTTTTTGTATAGTGGCCTTTCCTATATTATTGCGCAGAAAATTGAAGCAACCTAAACTTCACTAGTGGTGACATTCAATTGCCTGGCATAAGCCTAGCTCCATGGGAGAAACAAAACAGAAGATATTTATCTCACTGTGCATCCTGGGACTCAAAAGAAAACAAAGTGAAATTAATCTTTCTTTGGTGGTGCGGGTGGGGGGGGGAGGCTTTTGATGAATTTTCAGTGTGCTTCTAATCCTATCTCTACTACCTGCCGGTTAATGTCCTTGTCTTTCCCCACCTTACAGGCCTGTATAATTCAGTGGATAGCTGGATGATTGTGCCCAACATTAAACAGAACCACTACACAGTGCATGGACTTCAGAGTGGGACGCGCTACATCTTCATTGTTAAAGCCATAAACCAAGCAGGCAGCCGGAACAGTGAACCTACCCGACTAAAAACAAATAGTATGTTATGGTGTTCCCAAAAGGAGAGATCCGTTTTCCCCTCCGTGCCAGGGAGTACATTTAGCCTGAGCAGGTACCCATAGCAGTGCCAGAGAGCAGAGGCACTGGGTAGAGGAGTTTACCATTTTAGTTGATGCTTTGGGCACGGGCTCCGTTGGTGCCCCTGGGGGATATGTGAGTACAAAGATATACACAAAGTATATGTAGTAGTAGCTGGTGTTTGAGGAGGATGTTAGTCAAGGCTTTTTCTCTGCACCCCATCCCATGCATGGGGAACAGTTGTGTCAAACGGTACTAATTTGCGATGAGCTGGTAGAACCCTTCTGCAGAGAAGCCATACCTCTTAGGAATGCTTCTGGATGCAGGTGACTGAAAATCCAACTAACTTAGCTTAACACATAGTATTTTTTTTCTCTTTCTCACAGCAAGAAGTTGGAACGTAGGCAGTTCAGGACTAGTGCGGCAGCTCGTTCTGTGATGTCGTGAAAGATCCAAACTCCTCCCTTTGTGTACTGGCTTATTGTCACATGATCACAGTATGGCCATTTCAGCCTCCAGATGTCTTATTTCCTTTTAAGAGAGGAAGAGGGGGAAGGGGTTGGTACACATGATGGCTATCCCTTTTACTGGGAAAACGGGCACATTGCAGAAGTGTCCCCAAGCTTGTCTGACTTCTGTTTCCCTCTGCTTCCACCTTGTTAGCCACCCCTAGCAGCCAGAGAGGCTAGGAGCTTGAATATTTAGCTTTTTTGGCCTCTATAGTGAAAGTGGGTCACAGAGAAAAAGTAGGGAATGGGTGTTGTGTTCGCCAGCAGTGTCAGCCGCAGACCCATGTTGTATAATACAGCTCTTGCCATATCCAGCAGTTGGCTCCTAGTAACTTGTTTTGTCATATGGTTATAAGGAATCCTCTGTCGCGAGTGATCCTACATGACAAATGTTTTCTCTGATTGTTGATGATGATGCAACAGTCACTCTGACAAAGTTACCTAATCATATGTTATTTACATCCCAATTGTAAGAGGGTAAAAAGATTGTCATTACTGAGTTGTTTTTGTTTTTTTGTTCTGCCAGCAACCACCTCATCAGTTCCCCTCACTTTGCCTCACCTCAAATGCTCCTTCCCCTAAAACCCACTCAAATCCCAAATCACCCACTGAAATAAAGCAGAGTAAAAAACACATTTGAGAACATGAGACCCTTTTAATTTGATAACATACGAAGTGGGGGGCAGCTTATTCTTATTTTATTGAAAAGGGTGGCTTCAGGCCTACCTCCTTAATATAATCCAAATAGCACCAACCTGCACTGGCCCACAAATGAACATGATATCAAGAATCTCCTGGTAGTGATAGCCCTGAAGGACGAAGATGGAATTCTTAAGTATTTTCTTATGCATTTTTTTCTACTTTTTTCAGGCCAACCCTTTAAACTAGATCCCAAAATGACTCACAAGAAGTTGAAGATCTCCAATGATGGGTTGCAGATGGAGAAGGATGAAAGCTCTCTGAAGAAGAGCCATACCCCAGAGAGGTTTAGTGGCACAGGGTGCTATGGGGCAGCAGGAAATATATTCATTGACAGTGGCTGCCACTACTGGGAGGTGGTCATGGGTTCCTCAACATGGTGAGTGGATCCCACTTACAGTTTTTTTCTTCTCCTTTCTCCTGCTGTCAGGTTCCTAGGAGATTCAGTTCCATAGCACAAACGTCGTACCAGTATGTCAAGGTTAAAAGGGATGTGATGAAAACCACTCCTAGAAAAATTGGCCAGCTTTAAACAAAAAATCTTGGGAAATATACTGGGATCACAGCTGGAAATTACTACAGCATTCTAATTGCTGACTTTGTAAAGCTCTAGTGCTATCAACATTATGGATCTAAATGTAAACTGTTTAGTAAATGAAGAAGTTAAGGATACCTGCTTCTATGGGATATTCTTGTATATCCCATATGGTATCTAGCATAACTCAGATCATTTTTAAAAATTTTTTTTAGTGTTTATTTATTTTTGAGAGAGAGAGAGACAGAGCATGAGCAGGGGAGGAGCAGAGAGAGAGGGAGACACAGAATCCAAAGCAGGGTCCAGGCTCTGAGCTGCCAGCACAGAGCCCGAAGCGGGGCTCGAACCCACAAACTGTGAGATCATGACCTGAGCCAAAGTCGGACGCTTAACCGACTGAGCCACCCAGGCGCCCCTAACTCAGATCAAATAATGAATGTTTATTTCTTTCTCCTTTCCACTGTCTCACAGGTATGCAATTGGCATTGCCTACAAATCTGCTCCCAAGAATGAATGGATTGGCAAGAACGCCTCCTCATGGGTCTTCTCTCGATGCAATAGTAACTTCGTAGTGAGACATAACAACAAAGAAATGCTGGTGGATGTGCCCCCACAGTTGAAGCGTCTGGGTGTCCTTCTGGATTATGACAACAACATGCTGTCTTTCTATGACCCAGCTAACTCTCTCCATCTTCATACTTTTGATGTGACCTTCATTCTTCCAGTTTGTCCAACATTTACAATCTGGAACAAATCCCTAATGATCCTGTCTGGTTTGCCTGCCCCAGATTTTATTGATTACCCTGAGCGGCAGGAATGCAACTGTAGGCCTCAAGAATCCCCTTATGTTTCTGGGATGAAAGCTTGCCATTAAGTTTCAAGAGAGCATAGAATTCACTGGGTCTACAGTTCAGCGGTTCTTCCCCTCCTAAACCTCAGTTAGTGTCCAATATACAAGATAAAAAATAAAGTTCATCTGAAGCATCCAAAATAACTAGGTATTATAGATTTAATTTTTGTGCACTAAAGCTTGTATCTGAATTAATGTGTTGAGTTTCTCTGAGCAAATTTTCCAAGTAGTCTGGGGTCAAGCCATTGGAGGAGAAATCTAGAGAATACTTCTCACCACTGGAGAATTCAAATTTCCTGATGATTTAGGAGTGTAAATGATACTGGAAGGAATTAGGATAATTCTAAGTAAATAATGTAGAAAGATGCTCTGAACGAGGGGCTAGCCAGCAGGAAAGGCGTGTGTGGGGTATCAGCCTCTCTAGTACTGGTCAATTTGGCCAAGTAGAATTTTGAAGGATCGGATGATCGCATATTATATGTAGTTTTTGATAAAAACCTACCATCAAGGATTTATTGTAAAGTAAAAACACAAATGTGTATATATAATATACATAAAATGAATAAATATGTATTATATATTCATTTTATAATTATATATACATAATAATTTTTTTTATTTGCTCGTTTGAGTGAGAAATATACTGGAAGGGAAAAGAAATTATATCGTCCATTTTTGTCCCCTAAAGGGAACATCGAAATCAGGCAACAATTCCCCCCCTCTCCGTTCATCCCTCCCATTCTCCTTCGTGTCACACACATATGCAATAATGACATAGATGGTGGGAAGAGCTCTAAACTGGAGTAGGAAAGATTGGGGGACAAGACTGCACATTAGCCACTAGCGCTGGATAGAAAATTGATCCAATACAAGCATTATGTGTAGTGCAGTTTCACTGAGGCTGCCTAATGGAAGAGGGTCATCTGAATTGTTAAAAATTCTTTACAGAATATCTCAAAGAAATATAGCTTTATTACTCTGAAGTACATACAGTTACTAGAATTAGGCTAAAAAAAGAGTTGCATAATAATGGATGTTCTTTAGGAACTTTATTTACTTAATCCGTGAGAATGGAGTGTTCTAGCTGCAACAACTATTTGCATATAAAGGCACTTGTATTTTCGGATAAAACACTTCCAAAGTGCTTCAGAATGCCTGCGAACAGTCTGTTTTCTTAAACAGGTTAAATAATCATTCCTCTTGCAATCTTGTTTACACTATCCATCTGCTTAGCCAACCCTTCATGGCAAATGCGGTTTGTCATCACTGTTGTTGAGGGGCATCAAGTTTATGGTCTGTGCTTTTGTCACTTCCACTGGGGAGATTGGGGATGTCAGAACCAGAGCTTTTTCCTTCCCAGGAGAAGAGTCTCCAGGCTTCAAGGAGTCTACTTCTTCGGAGCTGTGAAAAGACTACTTTTGTACAAAATGGTAGCTGTAACAAGCCACCAGATTGGAGCCTTGAAACAATGCCAAAATTTCTCCCTTCTTCCTTTCCACTATCTTGGTGGATGTTAATTCATTAATTCATTCAACAAACTACCACATGCTGGGTACCGCTCTGCTGCCGATATATTGATAAAACACAGTCCCTTGCTGTCAAATGCCTTACTATTCTGTAGGAGAGACAAATAATCTATATAACCCCCCTAAATAACAGCTTTGTATTGTTTTTTTCACCTAACATGGAAAGCAAGACTGATGCAAGTACAGATGGCAGGCTCAAACTTAGGCATCTGGTAGCAAAGTCCGCTTTTTTTGTTTTAAAAAACCGTATGTAATTTCTGCTGATTAGGAAATGAGCAACCTCAGTAATATCCAGTAGTGCTGGGAAATAGCACTTTGGACTAAAATAATCCTAGTTCTTCTGCCATTTACTAGCTGTGGGACTAGGGTAAGTTACTTCTCTGAGCCTCTGTTTCCTCTTCCGTAAAATAATACCTACCTCACAAGGCTGTTGCAAAGATTTAAAAAGATAGCACATGTAAACTGCCTAGCATAGCACCTGGCATTTAGTGAAGTGCACAAGGAATATTAATCTCCTCTTCCCAGCCCCAGCCCCATTACACTGTAGTGGTGCTTTACAATGTATGCCTTTCATCTCTAAGTTACTCTGGTCTCTCCTCTAGGGCTTATCCCCCAGTTTTTAAACACAAGTTATTCCCCACACCCCTTCCTAAAACCTCTCACTGGCTCCCATAGCATTCAGTAGAAGGTCCCATTTACATGGGGTTTGGCTTTTCAGGTCCCTGTTGGCTTTCCTAGCTTCACCTTTTGCCATTTCCCTCCTTACAGTCGTTACTCTGGACAAGGTCAATTACTCACATGGGTTGTTCTCTGGGCCTGGAATGGAGACATTATTGACAGTTTTGATGCCCAGAGTAAACAGGAATTGTTCTTAAATTAAGGGAATAGTGTGAAGATGCTATAAATGCAGAGCACTCCACCTCCGCCTGGACCAATTTCCTCTACCTGATCCTCAGCTCTCCCAAGCTATTCATTTGTTTTTTGTGCCCTTTAGGTTTTGGTGGCTGGGACAAAGCTTCAACTTCCCCCACCTTATTTTTGACTTTAGCCTAGACTACCTTTCCCCACCCTGACCCCTCTCAACCAAATTAACTCCTGACGCCCTTGCCTGGGGCATGTTCTCTTCTGAGCTTCTGTGGCACCTTTGAGTGTTCCTCCCTTCTCAGCAATAATCACACTGTATAGTGGTGTTTTTCAGTGTGGTCCTCAGGCCACCTGTTAGATCCACCTTTGGTGTTTGTTAAAACAGTTTATTCCTAGACCCCACTCCTGATCTACTTAATTAGACTATTTGGGCACATAGGTGGAATTTGACATTTTCAACAAGTTCCCAGGTGATTCTGATGCACACAAAAGTCTAATGTATAATGATCATCTTCCCTACTAGACTGTGAATACCTTGAGGGCAGGGACTGTGTCTTTTGTTGTTGTATTTTTAATACTTGGCATGGTGTGTGGAACAGAGTAGCTGCCTAATGTTTATTGAATGAATGTATGAATGAACGAATGAATTATCAAAAGTTTCCCTGTTGTAGTCTAATATCCATACTGGTGTTTGTTATTTCCTGGGCAGAAAAGCTTGGTTACTTCTCCATTTGGGCTATATTGATATTATTTTGCAAATGCCCCGGGACTCATGCATATAAATGAGTGTTGTCTGCCTCAAAAGCCCTTTGGAAGTTAACTTGGGGAATTGTCTAGAGCATGTGGCACCATTCTTTGCAAAAACTTTTCAGTCTTTTTGAACTTCATTCTTTGAAGATGGATTTAAGTTTTGGTTATAGCCCCAAATCACTCAGAGGTTAGCCTACTGAATAATGTAGGAAATTAAACTGGGCTTGAGGTAAGCAATGAAGTTTCTGAGACAAATAACGGAAAGTGCTTTTCAAGAAACAACATGGTGGCAAAGTATTCAGTGGGGGTGTGGTGAGTCCCAGATACTTCAAGGCTTTCCTAGATAATGGCAATGCTAGGGACCATAAGAGAAGCCATTGACTACCTCTAGCTGAACCCAGTCGGACAAAGGGAATAGGACCTGTATTTAACATCTTCAAGGAAGGTGACTTCTTCAGTTTTCATTGTTGTTGCCCTACTCAACCTATTCTCCTACAATCCTTTCTGCTAGCAAATTATTCTTTCTGTCTGCAACTTATGCTTGTTTCCACTTTTTATATTGTCTTACTGAAGAAAGCACAAAAATAATCAAAATAAAGTTAAACCTGTTTTAAGAATATGAAAGAAATTTTAATGCCACATTGGAGTTGTGACTACTTGTAAGGATTCCTGCATCTGTATGTGTTTTTATCATGTAATCACATTGTGTAACTTTGGATGCAGTGAAATTCAGATTTCAACAAAACCACTTATATGTTCTTTTCAGCTAAAAATACACTAGGTGAATTTTCTAAGCTTCCATGGTTTACATATTTATATATGACTACCTGGATGGAGCAATCCATGGATGGACTTTTTGATTAGCTCAAATATTTGATACCCTTTCCTCTACAGAATAGAGAATGTGAGGCTGACAGATAAGAACCACTCCCATGTTTCTTTCAATTCCTGAAGCCAATTGCAGCCTCAGAGCCATTGGCTGTATTTGGCCGTGTTATTACAGGTTGGCCAGTTGACTGCCATCAGGTCAGGTAAAACTGCCTTTTACAGTCTGGTCGGCCATCTTCAGACATATTCTCTGTTGTTGTTGTTGGCTAGAATATTTATTAGACTAATGTCGGACTATTTTTTATCAAATATTTTAACCCAGGCTTGTTTGTACTGGGAGCTCTGGACCAATAGCGTCTCTTCTAGTGACAGAAATCTGAGCATCTGCAGATTATTACACAGCCTCATCCCTCTAAAATATCCCAGCCCATCCAAAATGCTATATTATGAATTAAATAAATATATATGTATTCATGAGTTCTTGATTGTCTCTCACTGGAGTTTAAATTGGGGGGAACATTGAAATGAAGATGGCCATGGGCTACTGGAATTATCTAAATGACTTGGGGGAAATCAATTATCATATACTAGGTAGAGATTTGGGCAGAGAAGACCCAGGGTGGGGGTGTCTAGAAATTGAGATCCAGTCATGCAGACTGGTTTGAGGAGCAGGCAACAGTCAGGAAGACTAAATAAATGAAGGTCTAAGGCCCAAGGAGACATGCACATTAAGTTTCAGGGATTGAAGCAGAAGGTGGGAATTAAGGAAGAATAAAGAAAATCCCAGTGCTGGAACCTATTGGTTAAGGTCAGAGTAGGGTCAGAAGTGACTTGAAACAGTTTGTCAGACCATGGGCTTATAGAAACTATGGCCCCAAAGCAAGAAGATTAAAATATAAAAGAGGCAAGAATTTGGAGTACCAGGGCCTTAGTGGTTTTACTGGAGAGCAGTCTAGGCAAAGGGCAAATATGGGGCTATTACCCACAGCTAGGATTGCATATGTTTTTTGGGGATGTAAAGTTTGGAAGTCTGTTTTATATGTTAGGCCAGAGAAG